ATATAAATTAATTAAAAAATTACTTATATTATACATTTTACATGTTAAAAAATCCATTAAAAAATTAAAAATACTCTAATTACATTTTAACATGGAGCATGCTCGAACTTGGGTTTCCTCCACAATGGGCAAGGTTAAACCACTGCATTTGTTATGTTAAAGCCCTACACAACATTATAGTTATTCATTTTAATTAACTTGATAGTTTGACCAATTAAACTAATTAAACCGAAACCCAAAAATCAAAACAATTTGACCTCCGAATCGGCTTTTAAAACACTAGTCAGGAGTATAGGTTGGAACACGCTAACCATTAAATAAAAAACAATAAATAAAACTTATGGAACGGGGCAATGTTTGTCGTACTGATGATCGTTACTCGTTAAAGTCAAAAGGCCCAAAACGATTGGGCAGCCATCAGAACTCAGGTCGTCTCATGGTGGGCCTTGGTTGAGCGGGTTGGACAATAGAAGAAGAAAAAGACAATAAGTTCCATTGGGTGACAATGCTTTTATTTGTAGACTCCACAAATTGCGATTGAAAGATGTCAACTCTATGGAGGAAGAGGAGGAAGTAGCTCTCTATATTTAGCCTGCATACCTGCAACTGCATATGTAACTTCAAGCTTCAGCTAGCAATTGCACTCTACCACCTCCTTCCCTTCCCCCTCCCCAACCCCCCCAAAAAAAAGGAAAAAAAAAAAAAAAACTACTCAAGCCAGCAAGAAAATTCGGTCCCTTGCAAGTTACAGCATGCAAAAGTATTAGCCAAGGGATAAGGCAAGGTGACCTACTATCTCCCTTCTTGTTTTTAATAGTAGCGGAGGGTTTGAATGGATAAATGTTATTTGCGGTGGATAAGAATCTTTACAAGGGGGTGAGGATTGGAAATGAAGATGTGATGCTATCCTACCTCCAGTTTGCAGACGACACAATATTTTTTGGCGAAGCATCAAAGGAAAACATTCAAGTTATCAAATGCATTCTGAGGACCTTTGAGCTAGCTTCGGGACTAAAGATTAACTACGGAAAAAGTCAGTTAATGGGTATCGAGGTTGAGGAAGATTGGAAAAAGAAAATGGCATACACTCTTCACTGCAAAGAAGGTGAACTTCCTGTCAAGTATCTGGGAATTCAAATTGGAGGGAATCATAGAAAGCTAGCAATGTGGCAGCCACTGGTGAACTCCTTCAAAAAGAAGCTAGCAAGTTGGAAGGGCTGGGATTTATCAATGGGAGGTCGGATCACGCTCATAAACTCTGTGTTGTCCAGCTTACTGGTGTTCCAGATGTCAGCCTACCTACTCCCCAAAGGTATTCTCTACTCTTTAGATAAAATTCGTAGAAATTTTTTATGGGGAGGGGAGGGAGAGGGAAAAAAAATCAATTGGGTTAGTTGGGAGAGGGTATGTATATCAAAGGAGGAGGGAGGATTAGGAGTAAAAGACTTGAAAAAATTTAATGTGGCATTGATGGGAAAATGGTTGAGTCGGTTAGCAAATATGGAAGAGGGCTTGTGGAAGAGTGTCATTGTAGGAAAATATGGAGTAGAAGGGGGACACTGGCTGGATTGGGTGCGTGATGGCAGGAACATAGGATCGATATGGTGGAGAGATGTCTGAAGTCTCAAAGCTGGGGAGGGAGTGAATGTGAGATGGTTGTGGGAGGATTTTAGGCTGAAGATAGGGGAAGGGAGAGGTGTTAAATTCTGGTGGGATACATGGTGTGGGGAGGAGTGTCTAGCTAACAAATTTCTTAGATTGTATTTATTGTCAACAAGAAAAGAAAAAGAATGTCATGAAATGGGTAATGAGGATCGGGCCACATGGAAATGGAATTTAACATGGAGGCGAAATTTGTTTGAGTGGGAAGAAGAAGCAGCTCGAGAACTCAAAGGGATGATCGAAGAAGTGAAGATCACACTAGGCTGCCCAAATAGATGGGAATGGAGCCACAGCAAGGAAGGCCAATGTTCAACAAAAATAGCTTATCAAAGGCTATCAATGCCAAGGAAGAACCTAGAGGAAGGAAAAATTTTTAAAAGGGTTTGGAATCCCACTGTCCCTAGTAAAGTGGCTGCGTTTAACTAGAAAACATTGCTAGACAGAATCCCAACTAGGTTAAACATGATCAAAAGGGGAATTATCAAAGACATGGCAGAAGGAAAGTGTGTCTTATGTGAGGAAGAGACTGAAGATGTTGACCATTTGTTCTCAAAATGCAAAGTAGCTAGAGGGTTGTGGCAAGCATGCGCAAGTTGGTGGGGAACAAATTTTACACTACACAGAGATTGCTAGACAACATTTCAACATTTTGGGACATGGACTACAAAACCACACATTTCAGAAGGGTGGGATTGCATCTGGAATATAGTCATATGGACTATATGGACAGTAGGAAATGGAAAGGTTTTTCATGATTCAAAGGTAAACAAAAGTAAACTTTTTGAGCTTATTCAATTGAGATCTTTTGCTTGGATTAAAGTAAGGAAAGCTAGGTGTTATTTCAGTCTTTCGGATTGGTTGATTGACCCTACTTCTTGTCTTTTAGTTAATTGTAGAGGAAAGTAGTAAAGATCCGAAAGATAGGATTAACATTGAAGGGCTGGTTTTTTGTATTTGTATTTGTATTAAGGGTTTGAGTACCCTTTGTACTCAGTTTTCATCAATGAATTATCCAT